CGTTGTCACCCTGCCACACAGGCCTCCAATGGAGACTACAAATGGCTGTTTCGACATTACATTATCCAGACATGGTACACTGAGAAATGCCATGCGGCTATTGCTGGAATGCATGTATGTAGGAAGGACAAGGCTACAAAGAGGCTGCAGGAGATCAGCAGCACACACCTAGGAACATTGCTGCAGCTAGCAGTGTCTGCTGTGTTGTTTGTTGTTTCTATAACTGCAATTTAAATGCAGCTATAGAACGCACTACAAAGTTACTACACACAACTGTTATGTATTGTAATTTAAAGAGGACTGGTCATGACTGGGCATTTAGAAGAAATTGCATATCAAATCGGTAATTAGTTATAATAGCACTGGCTTACTAATGGAAAAATTCAACTTCAAGTGAATATAAATCCATTGCAACATATTTTCTATAGAGACTTCTGCGCTCGATTAGTCTAAAAAAACTGGGCGTTCCTCCTTACAGTTGAAGAAATAGGTCACCAGCACTCAAAGAGTTTAAAAAGTCCTTTTTATTGGAATCCGTGGAGTTACTACAAGCACCATCTTCGTGTATTGGCCGGGACTGCAGAAAGGAGTGCGGAGAGCACCCTCACCTTCCTCCTTACAGTTGCTCACTTAAATTGGCTGCATGAGCCTGCATTAATATCATTCAATTATGTGAAGTGGCGCTGTCACCCAACGCAGTCATTTTCATCTGGGGATCTGACCAAAATTGAAAAAAAAAATTCTTATTCAGCCAGCGGGGCTGAACAAGAAAAGCGGATATGTGCATCATCTTTGTATAAACCTTTGCAGGGCATTACCGCCACTAGATCATTTCCTATGCTCCTCCTCCTTCCAGTGGCAGTGATGCTGTATGAACGCCATTTACTCAGCTTTACGCTGGGTGGAAGGTTTATAGAAGATCCGTCAACAGATCCTCTCCCGATCAGAGCAATGTGACATCCGTGTCCATACAGTTTTTTCCTCCATCTTGCGATAGAAGAAAAAATTGAAAGTACCGGTGTTCTGTCGAGGTGGCCAACTCGTCGAGATCTCCAACTCGTGACGCCCTGTCCGTTGTCATTTCGACGAGATGGCGCTATTGCTCGTGTGCCAGCCGCCACAGTTTTTGCAATCCTCGTTGACTTCTCCAGTTGCTGTAGGTATGCCTTTGAAATTGTCATCAAGTTCTCCAACTCCCGTCAGTGCTTGTGGCATTGGGTGCCCGCACAGGCGCACTGCCGTAGATGTAGAGCTTGATACTTCTCTTGGGTGGCTGCGCAGGCGAACTAATGGAAGTTGGAGGTCTCGACGAGTTGGAGAATTCGATAACACACCGGATCCCAGGCAAGTCTATGGGGAATCTGATGTACATTGACATCTTTCTGTTAATATCAGATTACTTCCGGTCCGGCACGATACGGTCCGTCGAAACGGATCAATGATACGTCTGTTTTGTTGGAGCTAACCGGCTCATCCGTTTAAACCTGGCTGTCCATAGACTTCCTTAGAGCGTTCCGATCGGGTCCGGCTGAAAAACTGACAGGCGGACCTGATCGGACCGCTCATGTGAAAGGGGCCTTAGTTATTATTTTAATGAACACATAACTGGATTAAATATTACAGTTGGGTTTCATGAGCACGATATACAGGCTTCAAATGTAAGTGTATGTATAAACCAAATGCAAAAAAAAACGTGTTTAAACAAACGCCTCCGGTCAAAATCATGACGAAGACGTTTGTTATCGCTAACGTTCCATGCGCATCGAGCGGCCCAGGAGTTTACTCCCAGCCGATATGTTCCTGATTTGCCCACCGCATCTATAAACATGGCATGGAGGTCTGGTGGAAGAGCAGTGCAGTCAGATTCCAGCACTTGAGCCATTTCGGGAGGCTTATGGGGCACAGATGCTGCACAAGTCTGGGAAAATTTCTAGATGAATGGAAGCTATTATGTGTGAGGCTGCCTGTGAATGTGTACAAGGCAGTTTTCAGATAATGGAGCACATACAAGCCTTGCACTACTTCCTTCCATTTCCTTTTTTAATAAAGTTTGCAGAACTGGTGATGAAAGTGAACAGAAACCCCAAAACCTTTTTTTTTCTTTCACTCCCATTTTCCAGCATAAAAGTCACTGATGGGATCCTGCGTTTGAGATGAAAGGTTCACTTAGAGGGCATGTTTGCTATTTCAACTTTCACAAGGTGTCCAGATATACCGAGCAATAGACGTGTTTTTTTAACGTAATAATTGGCTACATTAACCCGCTCGCAATCACGGAGCACCAAAAAATTACGCTAGAAAAATAAATAGATTTCGATGTAATACCGCCCCAGGAATAACATGGTGGCATCGCCTGAGCTGTACGGGCCGTGGTCGAGGGACTTGTTTATGTAAAATTACTAATAAAAAGTTTCAAGGTCGCATGATTTACACAAAGACCCCTTTATATTTATTTTCTTCAGTTAGGTCTTTAATTAGCTAAATTGTCCTCATTAAAATCTCTATCCTCCCACTTCTCCCCATCTGTTTCCCGTTTCCCACTGCATTAGGTTATTAAAGAGTGATTGTGAAATGGCTTTGTTAAAACTGCACCAGCCACTAAAAATTATAATAGAAAAAAATACATGAACTACAGAGTGCAAAGACCAGCAGATCCATACACACCATGAAATCAATTGTCCTAAACAATCTGTATAAATACAATGCAAGCCATTTTGAAATTTAACATATAAACCCAATTACAAAAATATTATATAAGCTTAATTATGTTAAATGAATTTCATAATTCGTTTTTAATGCCACAGCTTTCATTATACAGAGATTTTGTTTACTTGCTGTCCAATAGCCACAACAGGAAGTGAGAGGAAATTCCTCTAAAGTGAGGGAAATCCCTGGTGGTCAGCAAAGTCACCAGAGCTAGTGTCCCCACTGGACGATTTCCCATCTATTCCTATTCTGGTGACAATTTCACTTTCAGTAATAACAGCCACCAGGGCAAATGGAGGGGTGAACACAGACAGCAATAAAACCTGACAAGGGTTCTAATCCATCTCCACCCTATAAATACTAAAAAAAAGGTTAGACTTCAGTAGCACTTTAATATAATACCTGGTGATCCTGACATGAAGGTCCCTCTTTTAGTCACTTCCTGTTATGGGGTCCATCTGCCTCCTGTATTTTCACCCTGTCACATGTGCCTCTGTGAAAATTACAAGCAGCCATGCCAACACACATCACAAAATCATGGTCTATCGTGCCACTATCAGGAAGCTGGGCCAGAAAGAAGATGCGTAGCTTTCACTGGAGTGCGTGCATGTAGATAGGAAGTGGCTAAAGAAGGTTTCAATGGAGACCACAAGTGGCCATTTTAACACATATTATCCAAGCATGGTCCACTGTTGTCACCATCAGGAAAACCACACTGAGAAATTCCATGTAGCCATTGCTTCAGTGCATGCATGTGTGGCTGAAAAGAAGCTGCAGGGGATCAGCAACTCCGAGATGCAACAAAGGATGAAAAAAATTGTGGAATTAAAGGAGAACTATAGGGTCAGTGTTTTTCCCCATAGTTCTCCTTAGGGTAACGGAAGGACACAAACTAGCGTCCTCCCGTTACCCTAAGCTCAGTATACTGAGATGCCGCAGCCGGAGCGGATCCCGGCGTAGATGACGGGATCCGCCCAGCTGCGTGAGTGACAGCTGGCTCTGCCTATCTAGAGGCAGAGCCAGCTGTACCCGCCCCCTCCCCCGTCCTTTCCGCCAGTCAGCGCTGGCAGATCGGAGCGGGGAGAGGGGAATCCAGCCCCTCCCCCTGTCACGGCAGAGAGCCGTGACAGGATCGAGAGGCGAGCGAACCCGGTATGTGTTCGCTCACCTCCCGATCTACTGAGCCGACCTGTGACAGTCTCATTGTCACAGGTCGGCTAGAACTATAAGGTGAGTGAAAAGCACTCACCTCATAGTTCTCCTTTAAATAATTAATTTATAAGGCAATTGTTGACTGTGCACAGTGGTTAGCAAACTATGCCACCTTCATTTAGACAACTTTTTAAATTTGATTTATTGATCTAAATTAGACTCATGAATGCAGCCAGTGCTGGATGCAGAGGCCTACATGTTCTATGGAACAACTAATATCAAGAAATGACCTGCACTCCATACAGCGTGTGACCTTCAAATACAGAAGTTTGGTGCTCGAAGTGACAACACTTCTATTACTGACAGAGATACAGTCAGTAATAGAAGTCACCAGCACTCGATATTATGTGCAAGAAGTATGAGCACTTTTATTGAACTGTCACATGCGTTATTAAGCCAATGTTTGGGGGCCACGCAGGGTCCATTCTTCAAGGCGACATAGTGACCACCATCAGAAAAAAGGAAAATCACCAGCACTCAAAAAATTTAGTTTTTAGATCTTGCTGATCATTTATTGATGTCACATGTATCAGAAAACCCAACGTTTTGGGGCCACGCAGGGTCAGGGCGACATAGTAATGAAGGGACCCTGCGTGGCCCCGAAACGTTGGCTTTTCTGATACATGTGACATCAATAAATGATCAGCAAGATCTAACAACTAAATTTTTTGAGTGCTGGTGATTTACCTTTTTTCTGAATTTAAAGATCCCTGGCGCCATCTGTGTTTATCACTGCGAGCACCACATTGACTATTGGTTCCAGATGCTGAAAGGAGTGCAGGAGAAATATCTATACAAATAGTGACCACTATGTTGCCCTGAAGAAGAGACCATGCGTGGGGCCGAAACGTTGGTTTAATGACGCATGTGACAGTTGGAAAAAAGTGCTTATACTTCTTGCACATAATATCGAGTGCTGGTGACTCCTGTTGAACAATTAAGCGAAGCACAGAAAAAAAAGCAAGCAGTTAAAATCAGTCAAGTTGGCGGCTATGGGTTATACAACTTTGCACATCATCGTCATACAAAATAAACCCAAAAAACTTTAGTCATCAATTATGTAAAAGGCTCACCAGCCTTACCTCAGCAGCTCCTTGTACATTGATTTGGTTGTATCTAGATACGGGTCGATGACATCTTCAAACTGACAGACTGCTCCACCAAGGCAAAGATGTTTGAAAAGCAGGAAAATAAACTGTTCTCTATCTGAAGGGCTGAAAATGTCAAACTTGTCAGAGTCTTCCACGAGGAGGACCTAAGATGAGAAAACACACATAGCAGAATTAAACAAGTACACACGGTTCATCTGCAATTTTAGAAGAACAACTGTTCATGGGGGTTGACTGGAATTATGTTTAAAGAAGAACACCAGGAAAACTTTTCTTTACCCTTGCAGTGGGGCTATCCCTGCACTGCAAGGGTTAAGTGCTCGTTTTCGTCTATGTGCCAAAAAAGTTCTACACGCCTGATCCTTGGAGCCGGCTTGCTTTTAGACCGGTTCTTCTAGCTTCTCTTCCCCTCCGCTTCAGTGGTCTAAGGTCCCTGAGTCATCATGTCCTACACACTGTGTATAGGACGTGAGTATGCCGAGCGACATACCATCCCTGTTGCGGAGGAGAAGAGAGGCTGGAGGAAACAATGTAACAGCCAGCCGGCTTTGAGTTTCCGGTGAGTAACATGTTATGATTTTTGGGCCTAGACCAAAACAAGCACTTAACCCTTGCAGTGCAGGGGTAGCCCCACTGCAAGGGTTAAGAAAAGTTTGGCCCAGAGTCCTGCTTTAAAATAATAAGCAATAGCAACACACATTTAGGTAGCCTGTGCATCCCTCAGAAGCCACACATAGTGCTGGGGATGTGCGGTCTAAACTTTGGCCCTGATATGATATCAAAGCACTTTGAACCCTTAAGGAGATAAGCGCTAAAGATACATAAAATAAAATAATAATAATTACAAATGGAGGAAACTGCATTGCCTTCAAATACATGTCAAGTAGCGATGAGGCTGGGCTTGGTGCAAACCCAGCTTGCCTGAGTTCACCCAAGCACACTCAATACTCTAACCACCGCCCCCTCTTCCCAACCCAATCAGTTGCAGGTAGATGCATTTGCCACCCCCCAGCAATACATCACAAAAGGGACAGGAAATGCCCCTGGAGCCACGGATTGGGTCAGGAGGAAGTGGGGGACAGTCACAGTTTTGAGCAAGCTTGAGTGAACTCAGACAAACTGGGTTCACGCCAAGCCCAGCCTCGTCTCTAATGTCAAGTAGTTTAATACGTGAAAACAGATTTCTATGTATTCCTACAATGTTCAGGAATTAGGGTCATATATGACACATTGGCAATGTAATGTTTCAGTATTCTGCCAGAGAAGAAGACCTGGGGTGGGCTTGGGGGATATAATGGAAGGATAAGGGTCAGGAAGAGATGAAATGTAGTAGGTGGTAGTTGTCTGACCTGGGGTGGGCTTGGGGGGGTATAATGGAAGGATAGGGTCAGGAAGAGATGGTTTGTAGTAGGTGGTGGTTGTCTAACCTGGGGTGGGCTTGGGGGGTATAATGGAAGGATAGGGTCAGGGAGAGATGAAATGTAGTAGGTGGTAGTGGTCTGACCTGGGGTGGGCTTGGGGGGTATAATGGAAGGATAGGGTCAGGGAGAGATGAAATGTAGTAGGTGGTAGTGGTCTGACCTGGGGTGGGCTTGGGGGGTATAATGGAATTATAAGGGTCAGGGAGATATAAAATGTAGTAGGTGGTAGTTGTCTGGAGGTTTATTTGCTGTATAAGTATTATTATATTGTACCCCGTGTTCAGCTTCAACAGAACAGTTAACATTTAAAGCCCAACTGAAGTCACAGGTAGATTTGCAGCCAGATAAACACTGTAAGAATAATCTGTTCATAGTCCACTTTCCTGTTACATCACTTGTGCAGAGTGTCTACATATGACCAATAGTCCAATAGGTACCAGACTTATACCAAGTAAACTAAGTAATCAGCATTCAGCAACAGACCTGTTCAGGCACGCCCCCTGGTGAGGAGGGGTGTGGCTGTTACTCAGCTGTACTAGCACAGAGCACTGGAGGGGCAGAGCAGGAATCAGCATTTTCAACAGAATTAAAAGGGACTTTATAACATTGTACAGCAAAGCAAACATAAATCAATCACAAATTATAACATGTGGAGGTACAGATATGAAAACTTTTCAGAATTCAGTTGCACTGTAAATAGGTATCTGATGCTACACTTACTTTTCGAAGTTCATCTGAGATCATAAAGTCATCCACATATTCGTCAAGACACTTAGAAATATATCCGCTTTCCCTGACAATATTTGCTGCACACAGGCAGTCAAATAAGGACATTGACAGCTGAGTACAGGGAACCTCTTTGACTTCAACCTTCTCCACTTTCTTTCCTGGAAAGATAAATCGCCTTTAAAAGCAATACATAAAAAGCTGAAAATAACTGTCACATGTACTTAGAAAAAAGGCTTTTCAGTGATGAAAATAACGTTGGTTTCTTTGGGAAGACTATTTACCTTCTTTAACCCTTTCGCTGTCGAGGAGTTTTTTTTGCACACATGTTATAATCCACATTTTAGTCCAGCAGTAGATATTTGCAAAAACATACAAGGCTTTGATTATAGTTTAAGTTAGTTTTAGTGCCAAAAACACAATATAATACCCACTTTTTTTGGTAAAATATAAAAGATGAGGTTACGACGATGAAATATATACCCAAGATGCCCAGGCTAAAAATTGCTTGCGTCCGTGAAACAGTGACAAAATATGTTACTCCAAATTGTCCATAGGCGGCATTTTAAAAGCCTGTGCAGGTCATCAATTTAGCGATATCTATGAATATTGGCCATAGAATTATTGCTCTCACTCTGGTGCACGCGGTGATAGCTAACATGTCCAGCGCGATCATTGTTTTCGTATGTAGGCGCACCTGACACGTGCTTACAATAATATGCACTCGCAGGTGACTAACATGTTTTTTTTACATTTATTTCATTTTTTAAAAACTCTTTTTATTTTATATGTGATAGCATATTAGTGGTGACAGGTGCTCTAAGGGGACGGGGGGGGGGATTCACACTACACCAGCCCGTGGAAGCAATCTGGTGGCAGCTCAGCTCCCCGTCCCATAATCACAGAGAGAGGGTACATCAATGGAGGCAATGCTGTCAATAGAGAAAGCAGTGGGTGGGACTAGGTGTGGCCATGTGCTTATTGACAACCCTGGCAACATTTTTTTTTCATCCCACTGTAGAATGCACAGCTTACACAACTCAGGCTTTTTCGGCCATAGCTCTCTTCAGGGTCATAGGAGGACATATACTAAAACTCAGCATATAGCAGGCTATTGCCTGCTATATTCAGACAGTTAGAGCCGTGCTGCAGCTTGGACGGATCCTGACAATATTGTTGGGATCCACCCCACTTGCTGATTGACAGCTGGTTTTGCCTTTCTAAAGGCAGAGCCAGCTGTGGCCGCCCCCTCCCCGGTCCATCCCTCCAGCCAGTGCTGAAGGAATGGGGAAGGGAGTGGGAAAATCCCTGTGGGGAGCAGTGACTGACAGTCATCACTCTCTGCAGGGAGACGATCGGGAATCGAGTGATTGGCAGTGTGTGTTCGCTGAGTTCCCAATCAATAGAGCCAACTTGTGACATCTTCAGTGTCACAGGTCGGTTTGAATTCTGGGCATGAGTGTATTTCACCCCATAATTCTCCTTTAAGTATGTAATGTCTTTTAGGAATCACAGCCTGCCGGCTCAGGTTTAGAGATTACTTTTTGTTTGTCTGTTTGCAATATAGGTGAGTAATTCCCAAACACACCCACTTCAGGCACCTTGTTGTAATTCATATACAGAAAAAGAGCAGTGCTAAAAAGCACTGCCATCAGTCGCATTCAAACGTGCCACAGAATTTTGAATCGGATTGGTGATACAGCAAGACATCTGAGAAGCTACACGGTGCAGGCCTCGGGAAGTAGACCCGACCTCCATCAACAGCTTAGGAGCTCTGTACAATCTTCTTAAAGTGGACTGCAGATAACTCAGATAAGAGCGATTATGCTGCTTTTGTAAAAACAAAAATCTTCAGCTTCTGGTAAACATCCAGGATTGTCAGGATTGATGAGCTTCTTGGCTCATTAAAAGGAGAAACATTGGGAGAGTATAATAAACTTTTCCCAATACTTTGAGCAATGCAACTGTCACATGCCGGCTCTATAGATCAAGAGATGAACGATCACAAACTGCTGATCACTGTCAGTCACCGCTCCCAACAGTCAATCCCCCCTCCCCTCTACATTCCTCCAGGGTTGACTGGAGGGACAGATAGGGGAAGGGGCGGGCGCAGCTGACAATCAGGCAGCGTGGAGGATCCCAACTCCGATCCGCCAGCGCTGACTGGCGGAACGGACGGGGGAGGGTACAGCTGGCTCTGCCTCTAGGTAGGCAGAGCCAGCTGTCACTCACGCAGCTGGGCGGATCCCGGCACAATTGTCGGGATCCGCTTCAGCTGTGGCGTCTCAGTATACCGCGAGCAGCAGCTCGCGGTATACTGCGGCGTCTCAGTATACCGCGAGGAGCAGCTCGCGGTATACTGAGCCTAGGGTGACGGGTGGAAGCTAGTTTGTGTCCTCCCGTTACCCTAAGGAGAACTATGGGGAAAAGCCTTAACCCCATAGTTCTCCTTTAAAGTCACCTCCCCCCCTTCCCCAATGCTGCTTTAAGAACTTACCTTAAATGATGCTTCTTGATCCGATCGTCTTCTTCTTTTCTGTAGTTTTCAGGAGTCCCTCCAGCGTTGACTGCTGTGTCATCTGTGTCCCACAGTGTCTGTACGACATGCATGCTCCCGGCTGCGTGCATTCAACTCCATTGCGTCTCTAATTTTCTCCCTGCCGCAGATCTCTACTGCGCATGCGCCTGCCACATCATCCTGCACGTCCGCTCGAGAAGCTTCAGATCTTCGGCCGGGAGTGAGCAGCAGAGACACAGGTAAGTAATTACCTTTTTGGTAACTTTTTTTATTATTTTTAATGTTTTTGCATACAATCTGCTGCTTGCTAGCAGTAGATATATGCAAAAAAAAAGTTTAATTGTACTTTACATTTTCCTTTCGCATGAATGGATATCCTGTGTAAGTGTATTTTTCACTTTGTTTCACTAAAAGACATAAATATGAATTCTTTATAGAGAAAATTACATTTTATACATGCATTTTGCAGCCACCTCCTGACTACATGAATGCATTCCTATGAAGTCTACATGTCATTGCCTCTGATGCTGAGGACAGGAGAACATGAATGCGCATCAGGACAGCCACTGGAAGCAATTGTGACATGATAACAACACAAGACCTTCATGGCAGGGTTAGAATATATTATTTTAATGAAAGCAGCAGATGTAAAAAGATGAAAAATAGCTTTTGAAAGTACTTTAACAGTTTTGTGATTTAGACCTAAAAAGACTGTCAACAGTTCGTACTTCTTAATTGGAAATCTTCTTTCTATATTAGGCATTTCCGTCCCCACTTGTTTTCTGAATAGCTTGTTTTTCATACAGTTACGATGGCAATCTGACACTTATGGGAGTGTCAGAACCTACCAGTGGCGTAGTGTGGGTTGTCAGCACCTAGGGAAGGCCAGTATTATGCCCCCCAATCCCGTGGACCATTAGCACTCCCTGTGTCCCATCACAAACAATATGTCAGGCAGCCCCAGCTCCATACAGTACATCTACAGTACTGATGAGCGGAGCATACACCACTCGTATGTACACATGCAGGGGATGGCAGGCAGGCACACAGCACTGAATGGCCCTGCTCGCAGCACCTTTAAAAATTTAGCACCTGGGGCAACCGCCCCTGTGGCCCCCCTATGCTGTGCCCCTGGAACCTACTATCTGTTGAGCCTCTCCCAAGCTGCTGAGTCAATTTGTTCTGCTGCCCCTAGCAAAGCTTCATACTGAGCTGTAAGCAAAGATCCTTGTGAGGCCATGCCAGCTCCAATGTCTACAGGAATCCCTGCTCTAAAACTGGTTTTTATATATCAGTAGAATTTTGCTCCAAAATTGAACATTTCAGAAAACAGATTTTTTCACATTTAAAGGGGTTAAATCAACGATCGATTTCAACCTTAGTGATAGAAAAAAACTGAAGGAGCAGGATGGAAACATTTGCTTGAACAAATGGAATCCTAACATAGAATGTTATAGAATGAACTCCATTCATTCCAAAAGCGAATGTTAAAACCCAATTACATTTCAACAACATTCGTCAAGTCTCTGATGACATCAAGTGTTCTGAAGAGATTTGTTGGTATGAAGGTTAGTTGTAAAATCTACCAGTGCGTGGCCAGTTTAAGATCCTCCAATCCTGTTAATGAAAGAGAACTAGAAATGAGTCTGGGCTTCGTGTGAACCCTGTCTGAGTTTGCCCCCCCAAAAAAGCCCTTCTCCTGACCCAATCTGTGGCAGCTGTTGCGGCAAGGGCGTTCCCCACCCCTCTGTGATGCAGGGCGGGGACTGTGCCTCACCGCAACCGATTGGTTAGGAGGAGGGGGTGGCGGTCATGGTTTTGAGCGGACTTGGGTGCATTTAGGCAAACTGAGTTCATACCAAGCCCAGGTTCATCACTGAACAGAACTCCTCCTGAATATGTGCTTTGATTACAGCTGTCCAAATGTAAGCTCCCCATGTCCACATACAAATACTTACTAACAGAATGCAGAACGGTCTTTTAAGGTTACAGGTACGCCACAGACAGGCTGACCATACCTGGAGTCTACAGAAATCCCAGTCACCGGAAAACTGGTATCAAATATCTATGGGCACCTGGAGTTTTAGATGCCTTGTAGGCAACATCTGGAATAAGACATAGATGGTATATTACCTGTCATCTCCTCTACACCAGGTACAAGCAGCACATGGGTGCCTTGAACATGCAGAGTTGAGACACATTGACAGTTTAATGACATTACTGGAGACTTGGCTGAAAATCTTTATCTATTGTCCCTCATATGTCCTCAGGGAGTGTTACACAAATGTATAGTTGCATCACCTGGGTGGAGATGGTGATTGTCAATCTGAATCATCAATCATAGGCAATACAGGATGTGGAAGGTGTGGATGGAGGTTCATCTATAAAACTGCTGATACAAATCACAGCTATTCCCAGTGCAGGATCCAGAGATAGCTTCTTATGTTACATTACAACAGTTTATTGCACCGCTTGCCTAATACTAGTGTAATTGTTGGGATTATAGTGTAGTGAACTCAGAAGAGCCATGACTATGTACTTTTAAGTTTAATAGTTGTTGTATAAATGTATGGTACCGTTTAAATGTATAGGTCAGCTTTTATTTATTTTTTACATGTACATGCAGTCCCCGAGTTACATACATCCGACTTACATACGACCCCTACTTACAAACGGAGGCTATTACTGTACAGCAGGGGGTCCCAGGCTGCAGCCAAAGTGTACCATGTAGCGTTCCAGTAGTTGTAATGCTACTGCGCTCATGCCGACGGGGAATACCCGCCTTTTCGGGTCTGGTTCATGGTACAGTTCATATATTACAGGAAGTTGGCTCTTGTTAGGACGTGCAGACGAGAGGTGGTCGCCTCTTCTTCGGGGTCCCTGTGAAGTTTTTACTGCTGTCTGTATCCTCATTAGAAAGATTTAATCTCACTTCCTGTCCTTGAGACAACAGGAAATGAGAGGAAATCTAACCCTAGGAAGGGAAAATTCACTCCTGTAAGAGTTATCATGGGAAAAAGGTGTCTCCACCGAAGCTTTATCACCAATCCTTGTTTCCATGACAACCCAAAATCTTCAAAATCCAATTGTCACAGGGACAGAAAGTGAGGTGAAATCTCCTGAACAGGGGCACACACAGCAAAACAAATGTTACAGGGGGTTAACCCTTCCCTATGCTATCCAAAACTAAAAAAAGGTTTTTGGCTGGAGTAACTTAAAAAATGTACCTGTTCCAACTTTCATACATATTCAACTTAAGAACAAACCTACAGTCCCTATCTTGTTCGTAGCCCGGGGACTGCCTGTATCTCTCCTCCAAGTAGTCTCACTTGGATCTATGTACAGTAAACTCTCAGTTAACCGGTATTCAACTAACCAGAAAAAAAAAAAATCCCCTGTGTACTCCGTTTTGCTGATCAGCGGCATGTATTATCCTGGAAATGATCGGGTGTCTATTTGTCTTAATTTGTTTTTGATTAATGCATTTCAATATTAATATGAAGTCAACACAGAGTTTATGGTATGGTATGGGGTATGGCATTAGTTAGACTTATTTTTAATAGTAAGTCTCAAGCAACCAGAAACTACATTTATCCAGAATCTACCAATCCCTGTGGATGCCGGATAACGGGGTGTTTACTGTAATAAAGTTTTTTTTTTTTATACCTCTGTTCTGATTGAACATACATTGCCCCAACTCATTGAGTATTATTGTGCAGGTAGGTGTGAACTGAAGCCTCGTGTACTTGATATTCAGTCAGTACTGTTTGCAGCAGCATGGATGTAAAGCTGGTGTTAGAGTATAGATTAGGAGTATAGGGCAGGGGTGGGAAACCTCAGCACTCCAGCTGATTTGGAACTAGAAATCCCATTAGGCATTGCAAGCCTGACAGCCACAGGCATGACTCCCAGAGGCAGAGACATGACGGGATTTGTAGAGTCACCACAGCTAGAGTGCCAAGTTTGCCTACCCCTGGGATAGAAGGTGGTTTGAACAAGGTGAAATGAATGGTTTGGGAACATGGCAAGGGAGAGAATGAGTTTCTGGATGTTTCCACTGGCAGCTGCCATCAGGGAAAATAAAAATAAAAATAAAAGTTTTCCAATTTGTGCAATCAATTGGTCCCACCCAAGAGCAGACAACCAGGTAGCATCTGCATATGATCATTGTCTGATGCAGACAAAAAAAATTGGATTTCACTTTTCAAAAATCCTTTTCTCTATCATCCATTGGGGACACAGCTGTGAAAAATTCAGAGACGCAAGGTTATGTTGCTGCCTCTAGGAGAAATGGCAAAGTATCAGAATTTTTCAGAGCTGTGTCCCTCGATGACTTGAGAGAAAGCAAGATTTTCTTCTTACCGTAAAATATTTTTCTCGTGGTCCATTGAAGGACACAGCTCTGAAGAATTATGATACTTAGCCATTTCTCCTAGAGGCAGCAGCATAACCCTACGTCTCAGAATTCTTCACAGCTGTGTCCCCCAATGGACGATAGAGAAATAGGAAGACCTCACATCTGTCAGTATGGTAAAACAGAACCAAATATGAAATGAGTTGTCAGGGGCGCATTAAAATCAAACCTTTATATTAAATGAACAACCCAAAAAAGCAGGAGGTATGTCCAGAGATTAGGAGGATCCACGTAATTAGGTAACACAGCACCCAAATCTTGCAGCTCTATATAATGACTTGGAAAAAACAGCCAATACACAGAGATAAAAACAACAAGAGCGTACCAATCTAATGCAATAAAGGGACTTTAATCAGCTAAAGACATGCTGGAAGGTTAATTGGCTCCTCTCTAAGTTGGCCCTCTATGTATGCATGTGAGATAGGGACCAAAGATTGTAAGCTCCTTGAGGGTATGGACTGATGTGAATGTGCAACTATGTAAAGTGCTGCACAAATTGTCGGCGCTATATAAATAAATAACATCCAATGATTAACAAAATGCACTGACAATGGTTACAAATGAATAGTGCTCACCTGCAGCCCAAATCACTGCAAGGAATCTGAACATGTGTTTGCTGTGGGCAGTGGCAGGGCTTCAATAGCATTCAGGTAACTAGGATCGCATGGACCTTGCTGTGCATGTGCGGCTCAGTGCACACCAACACTGATAGGCAGGAAGGGAGCATTTATGACAGAAGAGACATACAGGGTCTCTTCTGTCATAAAAACCCTACTTGTCAGCAATTTAAAAAAAAAAAAAAATCTTTACTACCACTTTCAGGGCTTGTGTCAATGGGGAAATGCAGCGTGACTTTTGGTGCATTCGGCTTGAGTTCCTTCACAGCTACTCGACCTCCTTCTGACCTGCAGTTGCCCTACTAAGCTGCATCAACCTGCTTCAAGCTGCTTTGTCATTCCTATTGACCTGTATAGAAAGAAAAGCAGTTCTGACAGCAACTAATGCCCTTGTAGAAAGGCCCCAAATGCAACAAAGCCACTCTTCCACCTCAAAGTGAGAAATCGTGTCCGTGTACACTCCAATTCAGTGTTATCAAATGAACACAAGGGGCTAAATCAATTCCAGGTTAAACACCACAGGGCAAGAAAGCGCCCATGTATCTCTCACTTTTATAGCTCCTGACCTCACTAAAGGTTCCATTGAAAAAGATTTCCAGCCAGGATAAAATTCACTAGACGACCTATACAGTACCTGGTTGTGTCACTTGAAGTTTTCCTGATTTCAAATGGCAGCAACACCTACATGATACATTTTGAAAACCCCTTTAAAGTAGATGAAAGCAACGTCTTTTAAAAGTCAGTAGATGGGGGATGAGCCAGTACTGAATCAGGAGTGTACTTCTACCAATGGCTGCTTTGTTACCAAAAACCTGTAGAAGCAACACAGTCTATGGAGTCTATTTACCCAAAATTTCGAAAATCACACATTTATAAAGCACAGCAGTGTGTTTCATAAATGTGCTTGGCGATCCATCAGCTTCAGAGTTCCGAAGCCAGCAGAGCGATTGTTGAGTGTTCAAAAAAAGTCAGGAGGACATTCCTCTCTCCTCCAATCATGGAACAATGAGGACTCCATGGGGCTTCATTGGTTATAAAACAGGGCAGGACAAATCCCAGCCCCATTTGCTCCTTAAAAATGACAGCTGCCTCTTAACTTTTGAGTTTTTCTCTAGTCTAGTAGCTGGAAAAGTATTTGTACTTATACTTGTATTTGTACCAAGTACGGTACTTGGTATCTGAACATCCCTGGGTACAAGCCATGGATTGATTTCTATGAATGGGGTGGGCTACGGTGTGTAGCGCAGTGGTGCATAAGGGAGGACGGATAAAGCAAATGAGTTCCTGGGGCAAGCTTCAACGGCTGCCACAGACATGTAAACTGATCAAAACAAAACATACATAGATGAAGAGTTTTATACCTTACATGATACTGAACCTCTTAGTTTTTATCTGGAGTTCTCCTTAATCAAAGCATATAATTATTCCAGAAATAAGTCTTTTTTCTGAAATAAGAATCATTCGGTTTTACAAGTGTTTGTTTTGCATGTTCTATTTTTATCTGCTCCACCCGTTCTATAAAAGTCTCAGGGATTACTGCAGCTGTAAACGACTAATCTGTCATAAAACATTTTTTATTGACCTGGAATCCCCAAGCCTTCATCTTATAATCACAGCAATCAGCAAGAAATTTAGGGGAAAAAACAGCAAGGTTACCCAATGTAGTCCACTCTCCTGAGCCGGAAAGAACCTTTAAATGGGAAATCACGTTTGGATCCTGGAAAAATGCCTGAAAATAAACAGTTTATTAATGTTGTGCCATCTGATGCCAAAGTGTAAGGAAGAACAAGCACAAAGGATCATTTTGATAGATGTAAATGATAAGTGACTCACATTAAGTTGTAGCAACCAATCAGATTAAATTGTAGCAGCCGAAGAATGCTGCTGCCAGACCTGTCCACCTTACCAACCGTTCAGTGTCACTGCCCCTCTTTGCCAATCGCTCCACTGGCTCCCACTTGCCCAACATATAGAATTCCAAATACTAACAATAACATACAAAGCCATCCACAACTCTGCCCCAAACTACATCACCCACCTCATCTTAAAATAACACCCAAGCCATCCTATCCACTAATTCCAAGACCCCCTGCTCTCTGGCTCCCTGGTCACCTCCTCCCATGCTCGCCTTCAGGACTTCATCAGAGTGTCTCCAATCCTCTGAAGCTCCATACCCCAATCTGTCTAGTTATCTGCTACTCTGTCCACCTTTAGGCGATCCCTGAAAACTAATCTCTTCAGAGAAGTCTATCCCACCTTGACATCAAAACTTTCCTTTTACTTCTTTCATTAGCTCATCCCACACAATTAGTACCTTTTGTACCGCTTGCTCATGTGACTAGATTGTAAGCTCTCACAAGCAGGACCCTCCTAAAAGGTGCCCATACACCTTACAACCATCGCAAGATGGCCTGAGGGGTGGGCTTCCGATGACTGCAATGCTGAACGGGTAGTGTGCGCTTGCGCACATGGGCCCGTTCGGCATTTGTCTCCCGAGCATGCCACAAACCCGCCGACAATCGTACGATTCTCGCGGGTTTTCAAACATGCTCGTTAGAAAAAAGACGTGCGACCGTACAGTAGAAACGGTCGCACGCTTTCCATACACCTTGCGATTATCGTACAATCGCGGGATTTCCCGCGATTATCGTACGATAATCGCAAGGTGTATGGGCACCTTAACCTTCTTGTATTGCAATTGTCTCTCTTTACTTAAAGCGCTGTGCAAACTGTTGTCTCTATATAAATCCTGTACAATAATCATAATAATCAGAAGTCAGCATACACCAGTCTGACTTCTAAAAGCCGTTTCTGATTTTACTGCTCTTTGATTTATTGTATTAAAGCGACCCTGATGCTAGGGAAGATTGGACAATAAAGGTAAAATGAAGGATGTAAATACTTACCTATCCTGCTGACTGTGCTGGCAATATAGCTGAGGAATCTTACTCCAAAGTCTGCCAGGATAACTGATACCTCCGGAAGCATTGATCTCCTGTGTTCCTTGCAGCACTCACTGCTGACCTACATGCCACTACAGGACACCGGTGAACGTTGTGGGGGACACAGGAGATCCACACTTCTGGCAGTGTTAAGTGGCCTGGGCAGCAGACTAAGTGAGAATTTACATTCTTTTCAGGTACCCCCTTTATTTGTATTTCTTTATCGGTGACAGGGCTGCTTTAAAGCTCATTACCAGTAATTACCCCATCACGTTTTTCAAAACAATTCCACAATACAAACCGGAATTCCCGGAGTGAAGAGTTCTCCAGTGATGGCGGCGGACAGTCTTCTCTGTTGCATTGTACAGTGCAAACACAATAACATTGAATACCAGTCTATGCAGTCTTCTATTGGCACAGGGGTTGTGCCATTTATTGCCTGGGCTTACAGGACATTGGTTGAAGGACGATGGGCATCATTCAACTCACAAGAGGAGCGATTCTCTCCCGGCGTGAAAAAGGTGGAAAGTGATTAGGGAACTTTCCTTCTCTATATTTTGGCAAGTGTATTATAAAAATAGAGTTCTGTATATCTGTAGCCAAAATGTGTTTTTCAGTTTGAATAAATTAGGAAATGTCTAAAAAAAAGTTTTTTTTGCTGGTGAAGTCTCGTGGGCGACATTTACCTACACATTATGTCACAGTGATACAACAGGAAGTGGGAGGAAGCTTCTCCAAAATGAGAGAAAATCCCATCTTAGAGAGGTGTCCACAGTAGAGTGGTCACCACTGGAAGATTTTCCTTCACCTTCTGCTCTAATGACAACTGCAAATATTTGGATTTCACATCACTTCCTGTACTGGGGACCATTGTCAAATTGAGAGGGTGAATCTCCACAGAAGAAACCTGACCGGGGTTTTAACCCTTCCCTACTCTATACAAAACTCAACAAAAAATGTTTTGGCTTCAGTCAGGTAACCAGCATTTCCAGGAGAACAGGTCAGCAGGTGGACATCTCCCTTTTACAAACACAGGTTTCCTTTAACTACCATATAAATAAAATATGTAAAAAGTTATTTTAGGTTTTCTCAAACCCCTGCCATTGCCAGCTCACTTCTACACAGACAACATACTAAATAGTTATAAACACATGGCACACTATTAAGATGGAAATGTCATTAACATACGTTATGTCTGCTGGACACCAAGTGGTTCGGCGGGCATCTGATAAAGTCATTTACAGGCCAGTTCCACCGTCTCTTGCCAATAATTACTTCTGCAGACCTTCAGGATTAATGTCATTGCCGTACATCTCACCTTGCCTGTCCCTTCGACTTAGATCTTTAGGGTGTACAGGAATGTAATTCAGAGGGATGAATGAACCCCTAACGAAACACAAAACCCCCAGCAATTGTACAAATAAACGCTGGCCAGGTCTATCAGAGTGTCTAAAATATAATATGACTGTCTGAGAGCCTAGGTTGATGAGCTTTGAGCTTGTGTCAATGCCATCAATTTGAATCCTTCTGAGCCCATTTAGAATACATTGACAGGTGCATTTGACCTGCTTCAAGTGGTTTCATAGATTTGCTTGCGAATGCAAAACCCACTTAAAGCAAATAAAAGCCCATCAACGCAGCCCTATACCCTTTTGCATCCAGTAAGATGCAAGTTTACAATAAAAATAGCAGTTGGGGATAAAAGCTTGAATCTGACTTTGGGCCGGTGTCGGCAGGTTTTTGTTGGCTTCATACAGGGTTTGCATACCCATACAAGTCAATAGGAATGCAAAACCCTCATAAAACAGGTCAAATGTAGGTCAGAAGGAAGTCAACTGCAGGTCATATACTGTATACCTGTCAAGGAATTCTGAATGATTTCCAAATAATCTCAAATGGATATCAAACTAATGCCATTGACACAAGCCCAAAGCCCGTCAACACAGGTACTAGCCGAAAGGGCCACAGAGCCCTTATTTCGGAGACTTCTGTATGTCCCTGACATACAAAAGTGAAACATCTGCTCTTACCCCCTAAATACACATGCACTATACAGCCAAAAGAGTGTGGGCACCTGACCATAACACCTATCTGAGCTTGTTGGTCATTCAATTCCAAAACTATGGGCATTACACCCCTCCTTTCCCATTTTTGGTTATAATGGCCTCAACTCTTCTGGAGTAGGTTTTCCACAAGGTTTTGGAATGTGTCTGAGAGTATTTGAGCCAGAAGAGAATTTGTGAGATCAGGCACAGATTTTGGAAATGAAGACCTGGCATGCAAATGGCGTTCCAATTCATCCCCATTGTGTTCAATGGGGTCAAAGTCAGGGCTCTGTGCAGGCCACTTGAGCTCCCTCTTACCAAACCATATAGAATTGCCATTTTGCACAGGGGCCCAGGCAAGATGGAACAAAACAAGGCCTACCCCAAATTGCCGCAGCAATTTTCGAAAGGCCCGATGTCTAATATTAGCATTACCCATACAGTGCACAGCTGTCTGCTTGGTTTTATGCACCTGTTAACAATGGTTGTGGCTAAAACACATGAACTCAATACTTTGGCCATATAATGTACTGGGAAAGGATGAGGTTCTGAGGATGCTTTTCAGAACACCTGAAGCCAGTCTGTATCTTTGAAATCAACACACCAGTCTCTGTTCCATGCAATACCCACACTCCATGGGTCTTCACCGAATGTAAAAACTTTAGTTCAAAGTTGCAGAAACACAGTTAATAGACCACCTACCTCTAACACATTTCACCCATTGGGCTCAATCGTAGAGATAAGGTGTTACTAGGAGGGGTTATCTTATATCCACTTTAATTGAACTTGATGGTAGATGTTAACATTTAATATCAAAAGATAACAACTACAATGTAAGAGTAATGGGGAAATAAGTGCATTTCTATATATACACCATAAAGAGAATTTATCAAAACCGGAGCAGACAAAAACTGGAGCAGCTGTGCATTGCAACCAATTAGCTTCTTTCTTTCATTTTCAAATCTTAACTGAACAGACTGAAAAGAGAAGCTGATTGGTTGCCATGGGCAACTGCTCCATATTTTGTCTGCTCCAGTTTTGAGAACCCCCATCCCCTTATGTTTTTATTAACACTGCATCAATATGGAGAAGCTGCTTATGTATGGTTAAAGTGACACTAAACTCGGACGTTAAATCTTAAGATTGCATTCAAATACCCGAACTATTAACAGTAATGTCTCTTTTTTGTGTATCACTCGGCTGTAGGTTCTCCATTCATCTCTGAATTGTCCTTCCTTCTGGAGAGTGGCTACTTTTGTTCCCCATGGTCCCTGTGTGTGTTGTAAAGTAGCCACCGCTCCAAGCTTGCTCCAGTGATGGACTACAATCTCAATACAAATGAGTAAAATAAACATGAAATTGTAGTCCATCACGGGAGTGAGCTTGGAGCGGTAACTACTTTACTACTAAAACAGTGCTGCGTTATATCATACTGCTACTGCGCTAAAAATCTTAACTTCACCTAAAACAGCTGCTAGTGCCAATTGCCCCCAACAAAGAGGATAGTCAAAAATAATAGTGCAAAGCGCTAAACTTAATTTGAAAGCGCCAATTAAGTGAAAACATTTTTTTGCAATCCTCTTAATTCAATAGTCCATAACTTAAATAAAGTTCAATACATTAAATAGAATTAAAAATAAACCATAACAAAAATGTCGTAATCTATAGCCGAGTGTTGCGGTATAGATGGGTGGTACACATAGTACAGGCAGTCCCCGAGTTAAAAACATCCGACTTTCATACGACTCCTACTTACAAACGGAGGTTCGGAGGCTATTACTGTTCAGCACTGGATCCCAGGCTGCAGCCAAAGTGTACGGTGCATTATTTCAGTAGTCGTGCCGACGAGGAGTACCCGCCTTTTTGGGTCTGGTTCGTAGTACTGTACGTACATTACAGGAAGATGGCCTTTGTTAGACGTGCAGACGAGGGGTGCTCGCCTCTTCTTCTGGGTCACTGTGGTTTTTTACTGCGGTCTGTATCCTCATTAGAAAGATTTCATCTCACTTCCTGTCCTTGAGACAACAGGAAGTGAGAGGAAATCTACCCCTAGGAAGGGAAATTTACTCCTGTAAGAGTTATCATGGGAAAAAGGTGTCTCCACTGAAGCCTTATCACCAATCCTTGTTTCCACGACAACCGAAAATTTTCAAAATCCAATTGTCACAGGGACAAAGTGAGGTGAAATCTTCTGAACAGGCAGAAACAGGAACCATACCGCACTCCTTACCGGGATTCCCACTTGATGAAGATGGTTGCTCGAAATGACTGCGGATGGCACCGCCACACATGAACAATAGAAAAATGTCACCAGCACACCATAAGTTGAAAAAGCAAAATATTTTATTGCCAATAGCTGTATCTAATTGGCAAGCGCTTTGCGTTTATCTCCAAGCCTGATGAAGGGGATCCTGCAAGGCCCCGAAAGCGCTTGCCAATAAGATACAGCTATTGGCAATAAAATATTTTGCTTTTTTAACTTATGGTGTGCTGGTGACATTTTTCTATCTTCTGAACAGGGGCACACACAGCAAAACAAACTTTACAGGGGTTAACACTTCCCTATGCTATCCAATACTAAAAACATTTTTTTTTTTGGCTGGAGTTACACGTAAAAGATGTACCTGTTCGAACTTGCATACAAATTCAACTTAAGAATAAACCTACAGTCCCTATCTTGTTCATAACCCAGGGACTGCCTGTAACATGAAATAATAGCGGTGATACATAGATACCAGGAAAGGTTGTGGTGGTGGTACAGACAGCCAAAACCTAGTATATATTGGGTCAAGACAACTCACCAGCACAAAGTCATCTTTTTGATAGGGCTGAAAATACTGGTCATAGGAAAAGACTTGTGCCGTTAGTCTACCGTTCATTGACCTGTAGGAAAATAAAGAAACCATTCTTATCAACATTTCGCTGTGTATATTTAAAGAACACAACTACACTTCTTTTTTAAATATAGGTACTAAAGATTCTTGGGAACCTTACTCCTGGATTGAGAGTATTTCCCACCAGCTGACAATCTGGATATCTTTATATTAAAACAGTTGAACAGTAAATCATACAATAAGCTCTTAAAATGTTCGTAGATGCTGGACATGTCTTGACACAGCTGACAAGTTTCATTAAAACGTGATCAGGCTCAGACAACACATTTTTTATATGATTTATAACATTACGGCAATGCCTGTACTGCACTCTAGTGCATTGTCATTCATTCTGAAAGCCTCTTCAACGCATCGTACGGTAGTGGCCCATGCAGCACACCACAATGCACAAGGGCTGCCTTAAAGTAGTACTAAAGGCTAGACTTTTTTTTTATAATCTGTATTAAGGTAAAAAAAAAAAACACCCAGCAGGGGCGTCCTGAGGCATGGCGTCACCAGGAGTGGCGCCATTACCTGCTGACAGCCATTTTGGTGATGGACGTCGGCAGAGAGAGGAGGGAACGTTTACCCGGCGGGATAAGGTGTGCTGCTTGAGTTCTAAGTTCGAGTTAGAACTTTTTCCATGTTCGAAAGTTCGAGTTAGAACCGAACACGGGGGTGTTCGGCTCATCACTACTGCCGAGTCCCCTCCTCTCTCTTGCAACTGTCGGGCTCTTGGTCCATGACTGAGTGCTGACTTTTCAGAGGGGGTGATTCCAAAATGACTGTCAGTAATTTTGGTGTCACCCCCTCTAATGGTGTCACCAGGTTGAAGGCCTTACCCTCCTAGTGACGACACTGACACCCAGTACCTTTCCATACTCCCCTGTCCCTAAACACCTATGTCACCACTGGTCTAGGAAGATAAGAGGCATTCCCTGAGCATGCGGGTTGTGGGGAGGGTACTGAGGGCAAAGTAACAATAGGCTCCTTCTGCCATCAGTGAATCTATTGGGAGGAGAGGGGTGGAGGATGCAGGGTCGTTGCTTGCCACACGCACACAGCTAGGCACAGACACAGCTGGGAACGCGCAGGTGCGTCTCCTCAGCAGCCGGCTATCTGAGGGAGACACCCTCAAACATAAGAGAAAAAAGTTTAAAGAAGAATAGTGAATTCATGTAAGTGTGGGCCTCCTAATCATAAAAAGAAAAGGTTTAATATCAATTGAATGCTTGGCTATGCATTGTGTTACCACAACTCAGAATTTGGGGAAAGCTCGAGGGTGATAACACTTTCCCAAATCAACTGCCATTTCCTGCACGCTCACAATTTGCATTACACAATTTCCATGCCAACACACATGATATTAGCACATTCCCCCATAGTCATCCTATGTAATGTTCACGTGCCAATGGCGTGCACAAGTTTATTCACAAGAAGTTCATGGAAAGAGTCCACAGGATGTGCACAGTTCAGGAAGAGAAAACATGAACAAAGTAAGGGAAACCCCTATTTTCTTTAACAACATATGGTATCCGGTTTACTTACAGCTCTACAAAACTATTATGTTATTGAGAGTTAAGTTTACTTGAAGACTGCATTGGGTCAGCCTACACATTCAGCATTTGATGTATATACAACTGGGGTAGAAGGCGTGTTAGGATACCCTGCACCTAAAATCCCATCTATGAATATGGCATTGGTAATATCTACTCCATACGGATACAAATAACTACCCTACAGCCGACTCTTCGTGGGAAAAAAACAGCTTGCCAGATGCTCAGGACTTTAAACTCAGAATTATAAAGCAATATTCCATTTACAAAGTAGCCGATATCCCCAGCAGCTCTCCTTACACTACAAGTTAATCTCTGCAAAACTGAGATCCGTGTGAAGTTGTTGCTCGATCACAAGCCTGGTCAGCCATATATAATAAAGTTGGTGGCAGCTCTGTACATGAGGAAAGTCAATAAACATATTGTAAAGACAGAGACTTTAGTCACAGAAGTCTCTAGTTTATTGACTGCAGGTTTTAAGTACATGACATTTGCACTATGTATGCCGTTAAGGTAATGTTATTTACTTGCTATTAACAAGCACATAACAGGCTGATTGAAGTTGTGCAGTGAAGGAGCCGGTGAAGAACAGACAGGTCAGTGTTAAGTCTCCAACGCTTGTCCAGCAAATATTACATCAACATGCACCTTAGGAGTCTGTGTGAAGCACACTGGAGTCAACATGCTGGAGTTAACTGACTTATTGCTGACTTAGAACCCTTTCACACGGGATTTCCGATCAGGTCCGCCTTTCAGTTTTTCAGGGTGATTTGATCGCAAGTCCAATGTTAGTCTATGGGCAGCATGTCCATTTAGATCCGGTTACCCCTGGCTCTGGCCAGGTCCGGATAAACAACCGGAGTTCTGTTTCACTGGAGCTGCTCGGGCTGGCTCAGGGGTAATCTGATGTAAACAGACAAAAGTCAGTTTACAATCGATTCCCCACAGGCCAACATGGATTCAGTCATCTCAGTTTTTTCCTCCATTGCAAGATGGAGAAAAAACTGGATGGACACGGATGTCACAAATGGATGGACATGGACACAGAAACTGGATGGACACGGACACAGAAGTCACAAATGGATGGACATGGACACAGAAACTGGATGGACACAGAAACAGAAACTAGATGGACACAGAAACAGAAACGAGATGGACACAGAAACAGAAACTGGATGGACACAGACACAGAAACTGGATGGACACAGACACAGAAACTGGATGGACACAGACACAGAAACTGGATGGACACAGACACAGAAACTGGATGGACACGGACACAGAAGTCACAAATGGATTAACATGGACACAGAAGTCCCAAATGGATGGACATGGACACAGAAGTCACAAATGGATGGACATGGACACAGAAACTGGATGGACACGGATGTCACAAATGGATGGACATGGACATTAGTGGTTAGTCAAGGAACCCCTGACAACCTCTGAATAAACCCTGGGGTTTCACAAATCCCCGGTTGAGAATGGCGGCTATAGAGGGTAGTCTAAAACCAGTGATTTGGAAGTCACATATGTTTCTCCTGCCTCGGATGTTACTTGTTGCAGCACCTCAGTGGGGTCTTGCACTGAAATATCTACATTGTTTGGACAATTATGTATAGACTCATCAGCCATTTGTTGAAAGGTGTTGTCCTAATTGGAAGCAATACCCTTGTAGGCATATTTACCAGCCTGCCAGCTAAGAGAAAATGTATCTAGAAGCCCATGCCGGATCTCAGTTCCCCCGAACTAAAAATAGGCAAATAGGTCATTAAAAACAGGTGATAAACAATCTGACTACCTTTCCAGGGGCACAATTGCAGGATCCAGAATCCCTCTTCATGACATAGTCAATCTTCTATTGCGGAATACAGGGGGAAAACGTATAAAGCAGCGTTACGGGCCAATTTTCTATTGTGGAGTAAAGGGGCCTATTCACAAAGCAGAATTACTCCTTTTTATAGAAAAAAATTGGTTTTGAAGGACCCCTGCTGCACAAAATGTAGTATTCTAATAGCTGCATGTCCTAAATATATGTCATTATAGTATTCATTTACACGGAGACCAAGCTGTTTAGCAAGACAGAGCGTCCCACTCAGCTCTTGGCAACCAGTGATGTCAGTGCGCTGGGCGGGACACCAGACACAGCCTCACAAGTTATCAAGAGATATTAGCAAGCCTGGGATGCTGTGGCCGCGCCTCTGCCGCCCCCCCATGAGATGCTGCCTGAGGCAACCAACTCAGGCCGCCTCATTATATTGACGGCCCTGTATGTAACCCTTAAGCTGCATTCACATGGGGCCTTATGGGATTCCTACAGCAAGAACCCATGGATTCTTGCGGCATGAATGCTATGTGATCCCAATTAAATGCGGCCACTGTCCCATTTAAGTTAATGGCAGGGTGACAGCAGCCTCATCTGTCAGCGGCAGTCCGCATGTAATCATACATAGTATGACCTGTAGTTTGGGAAAGATGATTGTCCCTGTACACAGGATAGATGGATCCAAGGATAATCATCTATCAAACCACAGGTAATCTTACCGTTTACGATTACACGTGGACTGCTGCTGAAAGATGCGGCCGCTGTCACACTATCATTAACTTAAATGGGTACAGTGGTTACATCTGAGATTCCTGCTGCAGAAATCTGTTAGTTCTTGCAGCAGGAATCCCAGAACGCCCCATTTGAATGCAGCCTAACAGTGTCATAGTTTGTTCCAACTTCTGTCACTATTATTTGTGCTGAACAGCTTGGTGTGTGTAAATGTAAAGAAAAATACCAAGACATTAGAAACAAATGAATATATACAGAATATTATTATTCCGAATACAAGATTTTTCTTAGTGGTATGTTAAAGCTGAAGTATGGTGGCATTAAAGAAAAAGTCTCACTTGTCTCCTATCCCCCCAAGTGACAAACCACAAGTAGTACTATGCCCCGTCTTTCCACGTGGTTTCCAAGGCTGAGTGGTCAGACAAGGCGTGGTTTCCAAGGCTGAGTGGTCAGACAGTGCGTTTCCCCCTTTAAGGGCTCATGGCCGTAATTACTGTACTGATATTTAATTACATAACTGATTGGCCCTGTGTGTATGTGAGATGTATCAGTCCCTACCCTCAAGGAGCTCACAATCTAAGGTCCCCCATCTCACATGCATACATAGAGGGCCAATTTAGACAGGAACCAATTACCTTCGAGCATGTCTTTGGAGTGTGGGAGGAAACCAGAGAACCCGGAGGAAGCAAGCACAGGGAGAACATGCAAACTCCTTGCAGATAGTGACCTGGCTGGGATTTGAACCAGTGACCCCCAGTGCTGCAAGGCAGAAGCGCTAACCACTACGCCACTGTGCTGCCCCATTGCTGTGTAAATTGTCGGCACTATATAAATAAAATCTACGCAGGATCTTGCTGGCAGCATCTAGCAGCAAGAGCCTGTGTAAAGAAAACCAAACACATTGATTGGTCAGCAAAGTGTTTAGAGGTGTAATCATACAGATCCGCAAAATTCTTCTTGCATTCCTATAGTTCAAAATTACCGGTGTACATTACTGACCTCAGTCGCAGATATTTCTATTTTGATTTTATGGATCCGAATGCAAATGTACTGATCTTTACGCATTGTGTGCATAGGTCTAAAGAAAACAATAAACCTGCATTTATAAACACGGCAATTTTTAGGGCAGTGTTCATGAACCCAATGGGGTTACCCACATGGGCGCATTAGGCTGCAAAATGTTAATTGTGAGCGTATTTCCACGCCATGCATACACAGCTGCCCATAGTAATCAATGGGTTTAGGCAGCCATACCTGAGTTTACGAGCAGACGTGCATGCGTAATGCATTATGCCTGGATGAAGACTACCTGCGTCCAGGGTTGTACACATGTGCAGGTTTGCGCAAGTAGCAGTTTAAATCCACCGTTTATTGCCTTATGTGTCGGAGGCCTAATACTGGTGTTTTGGATCAAGTGTTGCACCGGTGACCCAGGCCCGTACACAGACTTTTGTCCAAACACAAGGGGAATTTATCAAAACTGGGGCAGACAAAATCTGAACAGATTTGCACTGCAACCAATCAGCTTCTCTGTCTCATTTTCAAACCTTACCCGAGCAAACTGAAGAGAGAAGCTGATTGGTTACTATCGGCAACTGCTGCAGATTCTGTCTGCTCCCGTTTTGATAAATTCCCCCCGGTATTTCTAAACCTGGGAATTGCTGCACCTGGAAGCATTCATCGCCTATACAGAGTTTCACATCAGGAATAAATGAGGAGGATCAGAGAAGCAGAGAGAGATCAGGAGGGTTTTCTAGTACTGTGCACATTCAGAAGCCTCTTCTGGGATCTATGGATGGAGTCTCTGCATAGGGGAAGGTGTATTAGGGGAACTGCACCATGTCAGTCCTATATACCATTTTGTCAGTAGCTCCCGAGTGTCTCTCTTCTCCAGGAAGTTGAAGGCTCGGCTCGGTAGGGGGTGGAAGGTGAAGCTAGGAGCACCGAACAGTTCTTCTCCCTGTGACATCTTCCTGGATCACCAGCAGAGTCTTTCATAGGCCGCGTCTTCGTTTCTATGGAAACCGAGAACGGCCAGCGTTCTAGAATAGGAATCCCCCCGGAAACAAAGGTCGGGCTAGAAACGTTCCGCTGCAGGTCGTGTCCTCTCCCTGCAAACACAGACAGGCTCCTGCTGATGAGTGTGGTGGGGGAATATTTGTGAAATAAAAGTTATTTTATTAGAAAAGATTCAGGACGTGTCACTAAAGAGCTCTCACAGGAAACCTCAGTAAAATTAAAGGCCCACTTCCCCTTCTTTATACTCCTTCTGGAAAATGCCAGCTGCCTGGCTGTTTCACTGACTCAAAGGCTGCCTTCCAGGTTTTCTGTGTCACTGACCCAGACATCCCAACCTGCAAAACCTTATTTTAGGGAGGTGCCCTTTCTGTTTTTTTGGGGGTTTTTTTTACAGCGGCCGTCGTCAGAATATAAAATAAATAATAATGATCACACACACACACAATCCATATACCAATAATACAATAATATTATATATTTATTTATATATACATCAGATTTGTGAATTGATGTTCAAGTATCTTTCAGTGTAAAGGTCACAATTTATTAGACAGCCCAAGACCTTTTTAAAAAAAACCGCTGAGGAGTAAAGTCCCTGATACACAGTTGACTAGTTGCTATGGGCAGCAAATTAAATAAATTTTCTCTATAACTAGACAACCAGGACATATAATTCATTCTATATTATCCACAAAGGGTTAACAGCACTCTCTCAACCCTGCAGTAGTGACTGTACCTGCTCTCAATAGTAGTCTATGTCCGCCCTCTCTGTGCAGCAAGTAGCTTCTTCCTTCCGAGAGCCAAGCCTCGTTCTGAGGCTACTCTAGAGATCACATGACCTTTCTCCAGGAGGCAAACCTCACTCTGATCGATGAAAACGAAGCGCTAAGGGTGAAAATGTGCAAAAAAGTGAAAGCGATCCAAACCTATTATGTGTATTTCAAACAAGGCTGAGATTCAATACAACCTAATATAATCAATACGGATAAACTCATATAAAAGTCTTATAAAACCATCGAAAAAAACATCAAAAAATGTTCTAAATGTAGAAAGTTCGGTGAACAGTAGGCACCGTGTGCAGACAAGCAAAAATAACGGTGTGTGTGAAGGTGGTCCGGTCTGCCCCTCTCGGGTGGGTACTCACCAAAAGGGAAGTTGATAAGAAGCTCTTAGTGAGTAGTAGCGTAATTGGACTTGGGCACAGACATATCTTCTACGGGTCCCGGCAGACAAACACTTGGAATTCTCCTCTATGACGCTGGCTGTGTCTCAGGAATAAGAAATCCGATCCTTTCAGCCTTGATACCAAAAAAGTGCTTTGCCGTTATCCCACGGAGTTTTAAGGGCAAACAAAAGAGAGAACCTTCATAGCGCAATAAGTAAAAGCATACATTTTATTCAAAAATAGGCTTACAAGGCAGAGAATTTCGGCCGACTAGAGCAGTTCAGGAACAAACATAAAAGCCTCGTGTCTGGTAAATTGACATCTGCCCTCCTTGACGCGTTTCGTCATGTGACTTCCTCAAAAGGAAGGTAGATGCCTTCTTAGGACCCTGGAGACATCAGACCGCCACCCCAGAGCAACACAGAGTATGTAGCTTCATATTATTCTGCATTGCTGTATAATGTATTGCTGAGATTCGTAGTCCCTCTACAGCTTGGAGTCAGCGGCAGAACTACCAGGACCGCAGAGGTTGCAGCTGCACACAAAAAAAAAAAAGTTATTGGTAATTGGTAACGGCGAGTACTTGAGGAAAAGTATCGGTACTCGGTCTGGAAAAAATAGTATCAGTTCCTCTCTATTATTAACTGTTTTTTTACTTAACTTCATTGCTATCTCATAGGGTCATAGGGGGACTCACAAGCTCGCTGTGTGATAGCATATTAGTGCTGACAGGTTCTCTTTAGGCCCGGTTCACACCTGGGCGTTTTTTAGCGCGTTCCTACGCTCTGCAAAACGCTCAAACACCGAAATCCCATTATTTCCTATGGCTATGGTTCACACCTGGGCGTACTACAGGCCGTATGAACGCGCTACAAAAGTCCTACGCCCAAAGAAGTACAGGAGCTTCTTTGGGGCGTTTTTTGTTGCGCGTTTCCATTGGGATACAGCCAGGTAGCCCTCGACAAACGCGCATATTCGATATCGCTGAGGAGTAAAGTCCCTGATACACAGTTGACTAGTTGCTATGGGCAGCAAATTAAATAAATTTTCTCTATAACTAGACAACCAGGACATATAATTCATTCTATATTATCCACAAAGGGTTAACAGCACTCTCTCAACCCTGCAGTAGTGACTGTACCTGCTCTCAATAGTAGTCTATGTCCGCCCTCTCTGTGCAGCAAGTAGCTTCTTCCTTCCGAGAGCCAAGCCTCGTTCTGAGGCTACTCTAGAGATCACATGACCTTTCTCCAGGAGGCAAACCTCACTCTGATCGATGAAAACGAAGCGCTAAGGGTGAAAATGTGCAAAAAAGTGAAAGCGATCCAAACCTATTATGTGTATTTCAAACAAGGCTGAGATTCAATACAACCTAATATAATCAATACGGATAAACTCATATAAAAGTCTTATAAAACCATCGAAAAAAACATCAAAAAATGTTCTAAATGTAGAAAGTTCGGTGAACAGTAGGCACCGTGTGCAGACAAGCAAAAATAACGGTGTGTGTGAAGGTGGTCCGGTCTGCCCCTCTCGGGTGGGTACTCACCAAAAGGGAAGTTGATAAGAAGCTCTTAGTGAGTAGTAGCGTAATTGGACTTGGGCACAGACATATCTTCTACGGGTCCCGGCAGACAAACACTTGGAATT